TTTCTGACAACAATCTTAGAGTAGGTTTCTGTGTTCATGGTCCAGAGCTTGTGGGTTTTCAAAATAATTCAACATAAATCGAATGAATATGACTTGTCAGTAAAAAGTACATCCACACAACTTGGGAGCATTTCTGCCAATACAACAAACAAATAGTTTCTATTATCTTTGGGAGATAAAAGCTTGTAACTTATTATGTTATTCCATCACAAAGTCCCTCACTGCTCCAAGACGCAAGACCTGCTTGAACTTAAATTAGCCAGCTAACTAGCATAAAGGAATATTTAAGCCAGTTCCTGATATTTAGCTAATTTTGGACTCAGCTGGAATCAAACATCTGTCTGATGTTTGTTCTTGTTTCTTTTTTCAGTATATCTGATTAACGTGAGCTACTTCCTGCTTCTCTTTCTCATCAAGGGGTCGCCTCAAAAGGTAGAGCTGCATATTTCACTAGGCAGATTTTTATGTTGAGGCATTTTAGATCTTTTGCCCTTTAGGCAAATATGTAAACCACTACATTACAGTATGTCTGACTTATGTAATCCAGTTTACCCTCTTATTCTTCTACCTTTCCTGCACCACGGTACGTTATTTGAAACACTGTATATGTTATACATTATATAACAAATCCATGTACAAAACAGAAACACACATTGAGTGTTATATAAAGGTTATTTCATGGCAAACAATGTGATACTTTGTCCTGCAGCAGGAAACGTGGGAGCGAACAACAGTTTCCTGGTATCTTGGCCAAGACTGGTAAATGTTTATAAATGGAAACAACTGAAGAAGAAAAAACGAGGTGGAAAAGGGAACTAAAAAAAACAAAAAGTCAATAAGTTTCAACCTGCTGCAACCATTGCTCAGTCTACAAATAAACATGAATTGTATTGCCATAGCAAAGTGTTATTGCTATACGGGAACAGAAGACAATGGAGCCTTGTGAATGGGGTGAGTGAGGAATAGTAGACTATTCAGTTTCACATTGAGTAATACAAACTGTTTCAGTCATTTTTCAGGCTGTGGTCACTCAGCCTGAAAAATGTGTTTTTCAGTTTGTTTTTCTTTGAAAAACTATGACATCAGGACACTTACTTTGCAACTTTCCAGGTTGTCAGCTCTGTGAGGCAGGAGGAAGGATACAGTCTGCAGCTCGCCGTCACAGGAAGTCACGCTTTGAGCAGAGTCCCTGCAGCTGGCCAACACAATAAAGTAGTGTGTGGGGATGGAGATGTTTGTATCAGGAGGAAACCTGGAGTCCCACAGAAATGCACACAGTCATTAGCAAGCTGACAACAGTCACTGTTGACCTTTGCAGTGTGACACAGAAGAGCTCTGTTGTTCAGATGTGGTGGTCACACTGGATTACTGAATCCCATTGAAACTACAGTTGATCTCCTGGTCTCAGATATAGGCCTGATCTATGAACAACAAACAAAATCCTACTGCAGAACGAGTAGATGATGTCACTTCAAGAAAACCTATTAGGCCGTCAGGCGCTTACTGTATGTAGT